CATGTAACTCTCCCAACCGATTTGTCATATCTTCTGCTGCAGGATTATCAACTTTTGAAAAATCAAAAGCATCAAGTCGTGGATGATAGCCATAATTGGCAAAGAAAGGTGTTTGTTGCGTGGAAGAATGTACCATATTATTATAAGCAAACTCTGCCAATGGCAGAAGGGTTGTCCAATCATCTTGTTGGTAGTTGATGGTACACCTTAAATACTGCTCCAAGACTTGGTTTACGCGCTCTGTTTGTCCATCAGTTTGAAGATGGAAAGCTAAAGATAGCTTTATGTCCACTTTTAAAATCTTGAAAAGGGTCCTCCAGAATCTCGACATAAATTGAGTTCCTCTATCCGATATGATATCTTTAGGTAATCCATGATAGCAATAGATATTATCAATGAAAAGCTTAGCTGTTTCTTCACCTAAGATAGATTTTGTACATGGCACAAAATGTGCAATCTTGGTGAAACGATCTACTATCACAAATATAGAATCATAAGATCTTGAGCTTGGAAGATCTGTGATGAAATCCATAGAAACAGAAGACCATGGTTGTTCTGGTATAGGTAATGGCTGAAGAAGTCCGTAAGGTCGATGACGAGGAGTTTTTGATCTTGAACAAATATTACATGATTGTACAAAGTCTTTGACTGACTTCCACATTTGTGGCCACCAAAAATCTCTTGATATGAGTTCCAAAGTCTTATTATATCCAAAGTGTCCTGCTGATGGAAAATCATGACGTGCTTGAAGAACACGTAAACGTGCTTCTCCTTCTGGAACATATAGGCGTCCTTCAAAATATAATAGATTATTCTTGAACTCGAACTTAGAAGAATCATGAGACTTGGAAGAATTATTCTCAATATCATGAACAAGAGGGTCTGAGGACATACTGGACTGGATTTGTTTGAGAAAAGTTGAATCAACAATCATTGTTGATTTCATTGCTCGGAGATGAAATTGCTCCGGTTTCAAGAGGACCGTTCTTTGTTGCTCAAAAGCTGCATCTCCTTCTTTTGGTGCAAAATAAGAACGTCTAGACAATGCATCGGACAAACCTTGTTGTTTTCCTGGCCGATAAGTGATAATGAACTCGAATCTTGACAAAGACATACTCCAACGAGCTTGACGACGATTCAACACGCGTACTGACATGAAATACTCGAGGTTCTTATGATCTATATACACAGTGACTGGACTAGAAGCGCCTTCTAGATAATGACGCCATTCTTGAAAGGAATCCACGATTGCAAGCAGTTTTTTATCGTGGATCTCATAATTGATCTCGGTTGCTGAGAATTTTCTTGAGTGAAAAGCTATCAGATGAAGTTTGTCATCTGTTCCCATTTGTGACAAAACTGCACCCAAGGCAAAATCCGATGCGTTTGTTTCCATAAAAAATGCCTTAGAAAAGTCAACACGATATAAGACTGGTGCGGTTACAAACGATGTCTTCAAGGCTTCAAATGTTGCTTCCGCTTCTTGATTCCATTCGAATTTGTCTTTATTGGTCAAGCGTGTAAGTGGAGCTGCAACTCGTGAAAATTTTTTGATGAAGATCCGATAGTAATTGGTAAATCCCAAGAAACATTGGACATCTCTTATTGTCCTTGGAATCTTCCAATCCATGATTGTCTGGACTTTCTTAGAATCCATCATGAGACCATCATTTGAAATGATGTATCCTAAAAAGTCAACTTGAGTAGTGTGAAATACACACTTTTCCATCTTGGCGTACAATCCTGTATCTCTAAGTTTTTGTAATACTTGACGAATATGTATTTCATATTCTTCGACGTTGTTAGAATAGATCAGGATATCGTCTAGGTAGCAGATGACAAAATTGTCTAAGAATTCACGAAATACATCATTCATGAGATGTTGAAAAGCAGCTGGTGTATTCGTGAGTCCAAAGGCATGACATTATATTCAAAATATCCGTACCTGGTTCGAAACGCACTCTTCTATTCATCTCCTTCCTTGATTCGTACTAGATTATATGCTCTTCTTAGATCTATTTTTGTATAAATCTTAGCTTGATTCAACTGGTCAAGGAGTCCTGATATCAAAGGTAATGGATACCTGTTCTTGATTGTGATCTTGTTGAGTCCTCGATAGTCAACACACATTCGCAAAGATTCATCTTTTTTCTTTACGAATAGAATTGGAGCTCCTGCTGGAGATTTTGAATGGCGTATGAAATTCTTTGCTAAATTCTCGTCAATATATGTCTTGAGTTCAGCCAACTCATCTTGCGATAAACTGTAAATTAGTCCAAATGGTGGCTGAGTTCTTTCCTTGAGGTCGATTGAACAATCATATGGACGATGCTCAGGAAGAATATCTGCATTCTTTTTCTCAAAAACGTCTTGATAATCCTGATATTGACTTGGAATGCCACTTGAAGTCTTTACGCTTTCAGAAATAGGTGCAGCATAAATAGCAAAAGTTGATCCTTCTTTTGCTGCGTATATAAATGCTTTTGCACCTATAAGTACGAGTTTTACTATACTAGATTTATAACTTTTTACTTGGTTGGTAGAACTATTAATAATGCTTTGGGAAAAAGTCAAGTTTACGAGAATTCCAATCTATTCGAGGGTTATATTTTTCTAGCCAGGATAAACCTAAAATAACTGGATTGGACGGGGATTTAATTATGTTAAAAGCTATGTAGCTAACATGACCGTTTATTGTTACTTTTATAGGGCGAGTTTCATGAGTGACATCTCCAGAAGACAAAGGACGGCCATCAATGACTTCTACATGTACGGGTTTAGTTTTCTGTACAAAAGGTAT